GAGAATGAGGCAAGATTACCAGGAGTCCATCTCGAAGGAGTCACTCTAAATTAGCTCTCTCTCTCTCTGTGTGTTGGCCTGCCCCCGCACCGCAGGGTTACAGCTTCGCCACCGGTTAACCAAGAGGCTGCTGGGCTGGGAGGTTGTGCGTGTGTGTGTGTGTCAACACGAGTTATCAATACTCGAACGTACCGCAAATACTGCAGACTGCAGCCGAAGTCGCATCTCGCGCTTGTCAAACGATATAGAGCAGATATCACGATCGAACAGCCGCAAATACGGGAGACACAATCAGGGAACAAACAAACATCTCTCTCTCTCTCTCCATTCACACACGACAATTTTCTACAGTAACACTACAGGGGGTTTCTGCCGGCACCAATTCCATCGCGGTTTATCGAGCGTCATAACAACATGCTCCTCTTCCCGCGGCGAGAGAATATTCCACATATTTTTACGACCTTCGCCGTGATAGTGCCCTTGCGGGCCGGCCTCGGCAGGGGGGAGGCCACGCCGCAAGAAAGTGGAGCTTTATCTCTATTTACCGGGCGGCACGGCCCAAAGGATGCGCGACTTATCTGTGACGCATTCGACGGCATTAAGGAGGACATCATAACCTCTCCTGAAATAAGCTGCGCCGAGACGCTCAGGTTATCTGTGTAGGAGGGCCCTGTGTGCGCGGGGAGCGAGCGGGGCGGTGGCATTTATACATAGCTCGCCTTTGCACTTTACACTTCAATTGCGTCATACAGGAAATCCCAATCATCAATGGTTCGGTTGAGGGAAATCACTTGACTTCTTTCTAGCACAGCATGTCTGCTGAAATAACCCTTTAAGTTTATTTTAGGCTTGGCAAATACTCGTTAAACTGCGCTCAGCGTGAAACGATCAACATAGAACGTTGTCAAAAAGCTGAAAAACACAAATATGGAAGTTGTCAAGAAAATTGATGAAACCAGCCATAAAATTTGACAAATCAAATTCTGCCAACGAACTTTCGGCCGCTAATAAACAACCCTGTAAGAAATGCAGTCCGTTCGCAGTTTGCGGCCAGCTGCTACCGGCGCGACGGCGTTTGCATTTGCGCGCGCTCGCTCGCCTCGCAGGCTCGCCTCGGCTTGGCGTGTCACTGCGTAGTTGGCGGCCGGGGACACAGATGGCAGCACGCCGCACGCTCGGGCCGCCTGCTCTCGGCTGCCGCGTTCGGCTCGCCTGCGCCGCCTGCTCGCTCGGCAGCGTCGCGCTGTTCGAAAACAAATTCACCTGCTGCTGTTATCAGCACGCCTCTCTTTGCGAGATTTACAACCGGCAGCTCGCGGCGTCCACGACTAGTTTCCCGGCAAAGAGTCGTCTGAAGAAGGACGAGTAAACGAGAGGCGAAAAGAAGGCAGTGTGTGTTCTTATTACAATTTGTCTAAAGCTTGTGACAAACCGCCCTTTCTCTCGATCCACCCTCTCGTTTCTCATGCAGTGTGTCATGAGCCAACTCCCCCCTCCCCCCCTCCCCCTGCGCTTAGTCAAGCCGTCGCCGGATCAATACGGCACGCTCCACTGCGCACTCCCGCGACCCCCACACACACCCCACCGCCCCCCGTTTCGCACAAAAGGCAGTTTTAGAGCGGTACCCGTGCAAAATTCATCCGCGAGCCCTTATCATGCACCAGGTAATCGCTGTGCTCGCTCAGCCTTCTTGCGCCAGAACGTTCACGCGGCGACACGGCGCCAATCCCGCTTACCAATTCACCACGGCCCCATCCGCCCTCGCACCAAAACACAAGACAATTACACACGACCGTGGGAGCAGCAGGACCGCCGAGAGCGATGCAGGTGTCTTGTTGCAGATGAGTGTGAACGATTAATCGGCGCCAGCGAAAGAAAAGTGCGGCTTATTACAGACAAAACGGAATCAATCGAACGATCGACGGCGCCGACTCGGCGGACGAGAGAGTCGGACGAGTCGGATCAGACATTAAACGCCCCGGCCCGCGCGGACGCATAGGGCCCGCGCGTTTAGGTTTTATTCGAAATGAAGCACCGATTGAAGGGCCGCCCGATTGAGGCGCCATTATATCGAAGGAAAACGCGCTTTAATTGGTCCGGACGATACCGTCTTACGCGCCAGACGCTCGCCTCACGCACGCACGCCGTGCGTTACCGGGCGTGATGAGCGCAATTAGTGCCGCACGACCCTTTTGCCAATCGCACAACCAAACAAATAATTGGCCGTAATTATGAAGAGAGATTTTAATTTTTACTCTCCCCCCCCCCTGCTCTCCTTCGAGAGCCGTGTTGAGCAGGGTCCCGAAAATGAGGCAGCCATTACGTTCATTTATACGGCGCGGCCCGGCTCATTGGTGCCGCAATTAGAACTACATTGTTGGGGAGTTAGGATTATTAGAAGACAGCCAAATGCTAGGGATCGGCCAGCGGGCCGCGGGCCGCCGCAGTGTGCCGCCGGCGCGCCGATGCAGCGGGGTCGGCGTTTCCAATCGTTTTCGGCGGAGCGATCACGATATCCAGGATGAAGCTCTCCGACATTCTGCGCCCGCCGCGGGATAACAACGCCGCTCAAACGCAGGGCGCAGGGAAGGGGCGGACCATACCCCTTTTTAGATGGATTTCATTTCTACCTCACAGTGTCCGTACTTGTGCCGCCACGCCACGCCACACACACACACACACCAAATGTTTGCAAACAGCGCTCGGGTGCGAAAACGGGCCACACACACCATGCACACCACAAACCTTCCTCTCCAGACCCCCAGGTAGCGGGGCGACAGACAAACCTGCGGCTCTGGCAGTCTTGCCGCCGTGTTTGTGTTCAAAAGTCCTAGAAAGAGAGCGAGGGA